ATGGTGAAGTCTATGACCCTCAGGAAGATATGTGGACTTGTATGGCATCAATGGTTATCCCAAGGTGTGAATTTGGACTTTGTGCTCATGAGGGCTATCTCTATGCTTTTGGTGGCTGGGTAGGGGAAGACATTGGGGGATCCATTGAAAGGTACGACCCTATTGCTGACGAATGGAGACTTGAGTCCAACATGCCAGAAGCCAGATTCAGGTAAAAACAGAAAATTGCTTGGAGTACAGTAACAGTAGTAAAAATGTATATATCAAATAATGTCATTTCATTTATTGATTTTTAATAAGGCCTAAATAATTTCACTTCAGCATGGGTGTTGTCGAACATCATGGGCTCATCTACATTGTTGGAGGATGCACCCACAGTCAGCGTCATCTCCATGACCTCCTTTGCTACAACCCAGTGACAGGAGAGTGGCAGAACCTTGCACCCATGTTAACTCCTCGTAGCCAGATGGGTGTTGCAGTGTTAGATGGCTTCCTTTATGTTGTAGGAGGTACCAACAGGCACAATGTTCTTACATCAGTGGAGAGATACTCCTTTGAGCAGGTATTGTATATGCAGTCTTTTCCTTGTTTTTCATGTGTATGCTAATTCTGGTGTGTTGTTAGTGGACTAACATTTATATGATATAGTGTCTTGGGGTTAATGAATTTGTTATTATTTATCAACAGAATAAATGGTTTGAGTGTCCTCCCATGTCTGTGGGCAGAGCAAGTCCAGCTGTTGCAGCAACAAACTCTCTTTTGTATGTCATAGGTGGTGATCAAACTAGTGAAGTCAATGATTTTTACAGAGCCCAGGTAAGGATTATCATTTACGTGAATAAGAGACAATGATTTACAAAATGGAGTACTTTTATGTAAATATTCATTGCTATATATTCCTTTCTTGTAATCAGTATTGCTTTTCGTTCATCATTTTTTGCAAATATTTATTACTATATACTCCTTTATTGTAATCAATATTGGTTTTTGTTCATCATTTTATGTAAATATTTATTGCTATATACTCCTTTATTGTAATCAGTATTGCTTTTTGTTCTTCATTTTTAATTATTTACTGGAACTGTTTTTTTTTATACATGATTTTTCTTACTTTTCTTTCAGTAATTGGCCAAACTCAATGATCCAGAGTGTCCTAGTTTAACCAGAAAGGTCAATATCAGCCGACATTCCCATAGTCCAAGACAGCCGGCATGAAAGTTACTTTTCGGCAGATTTGGTAAATGTGATAATGATGTGGAATAAATATGTTCAAGCGCTTATTTCATTTCTTATGAAATCGGCATTTTATAGCTCCAGATTTCTAGAAAGCTCACTATTAAAGTAAGGATTTTAAAAGCATTCTTACATGAAAATGCATGCAGATTATTGGACGTGGGCTTACAACATAAAGCATATCAAGCTTTCTTTTTAAATAAGAAGATACTTTGATCCCATCACCAACAGCTGGGTGGACTGCACTGCCTTGCCAGAGAGTCGGTCCGAGGCAGGGGCAGTTGTCATTTGACCCCCTCCTCCTTCACAGCTCCCAACTCCCCCCAAACACAAGAGTCACCGGCCAAACCTCAATGATCCAGAGTGTCCTAGTTTAACCAGAAAGGTCAATATCAGCCGACATTCCCATAGTCCAAGACAGCCGGCATGAAAGTTACTTTTCGGCAGATTTGGTAAATGTGATAATGATGTGGAATAAATATGTTCAAGCGCTTATTTCATTTCTTATGAAATGGCATTTTATAGCTCCAGATTTCTAGAAAGCTCACTATTAAAGTAAGGATTTTAAAAAGCATTTACATGAAAATGCATGCATATTGGAGTGGGTTACAACATAAAGCATATCAAGATATTTTTAAATAAGAAGAAATTTTCCATTAAAAATTTTTGATGGCTTTAAATGGTCTGGTTGAACATTTTAATAACTAAATCACAGTACTGCACTTTATGAACAAGTGCAGTTGTTATCACCATAGTCTGCTGTGTGGTGTATAGTAACCATATCATCCTTGCTTGATTAAGTTATCTTACTTTGTAAAGTCAATGAAAAGAAAATTTATTATAAGATGGTGGTGCAAAAATATGTCATTTTTATGCCTTAGTAGAAGTATAGTTACCTTTAGTAATGAAAATTCTAGGCAGCTCAATATTCTTTTATGATAAATCTCCTACTATCAAGCTTGAAACTTGGTTGAATATGTTTTTCCATAATAATATTCTGCTGTATAACAATATGTAATTAATTACTTGATGGTATGACTTTACTTATACTTGAGCCTGACAACTAACATAATCTCTGGGTTTTAGAAGCATATTTTTACTTTCCTGAAAGGAAAATAATTCCACTGAATGAGGGAAGAGTGCCATAAATTTGCCTTTGTTCTTTCCTTCTCACTAATTTTAGCATGTAAATGCACTTTATAATTCATTTATGAGAATTTGTACAGATACATTTGGTTCATAGTTCCAGTTATAAATAAGCACCTTCTAGTCCTCCCTGTTTATACCTTTCATTAAAAAAGAGGAACGAAAACAGGCATTATTTGTTATTGATAAATTATAACATTTAAAATTATGAGGCAATATTTCATTATTAATTTTCTCCAACCAATTCATTTTTCATTGTTGTTTTATGACGCTTGTGAAAAATCATTAATCTGTAAGGCTTTAGGGGTACTTACAATGTAAGTACTCAATCAGTAGATTCATCTTAGTATTATAATGGAATTGCCATGGATCTTCCAAGCGGCAGTTGACAGAGATCTCTATGTTGGTCATGGGCCTGGTGTGCTTCTCGAATATATGTTGGAGGAAAGTTCCCTCTCTTGTTAGTGTTCACTGATTTCCCTTTTTACTTCCTCTTTTCTCTTTCATTCTGTTTTTTAACCAATTCCTGAAAAATCTCTATGGATATGGTATATCAAAAGGTAATGAATGAGGATTTAATATGTAATAATTGTGTAGGTAGATTCATTTCATATTTGTTTTTGCTCATAAGAGTAGGTAAAACATTATGCATCATTTAGTGAGAAGAGCACACAGCTATGGATAAGGAATATTATGCCTCTTTGAATTGTTAGAATAGATAGTTGTTGTGACAGGAAGGAAAATTTAGGAATAACCACATTAAAATGTGGCATTGAATCTGCATGAGAATTATCTGCTTGTCACTGCCTTATTTACACAAAATCATGTGCTTTATCTGTACATAATAAAGCTTTGTCTAATGATGTTGTGTACTTGTTGTTGTTTACATTTTTTTATTGTGATTTAAGGCTTGACCCATGAATCTATTGATGATGTATGACTACTCAAGCTTTTCAGTAAAAGGTGTTAGTATGGTATAAAAACTTCCAGTTATGCTTGTATGTTAATAGTGTCGCAAATATGACACCCTGTTTTTCACTTGCAAGTGGACTTTAGTGGATCTGTTGTTTTTGAAATGTGCACAGATGTCAAATACAGACAGCTCTGGGTAGTCCTAAGTAGCACGATTTTCATCTGTTTTGTACCATTAAACACTATATAGCTGGTTATCAGTAGACTTTTTTTGAGATGTGTCTTCTATATAGTAGTAGTAAGTACTTTTACTTGCTCTTTCTATTTGGTAAGTAATAGGGAAACTGCTTTAGGTCTTTGTAATACTATCTTCAAAACACGGTGGAGCACTGATCGATGTGAAGTAAATCGAATCCATACGTTTACATTCATCCGTCTCAAGAGTTAATCAAATTTGTTGTCTTCATTCTCTGTGTTTTGTCATATATTGTTTATTCAGACTTTATAACCAAAGATTGTAAAACTAATAACCTTTTTGAGTGATGTATGAATTACTGTTTAGAGTGTGTCATTGTCTTAAGAATAATAGTATGTATGTTTGTTTATACAGATAAATAATGATAATTCTATTGGATTTTAAGTTTATTTGATGATTTCATTAGATTATAAAAAGAGGATATGATATATTTGAAACCAAAGATTATATAGATATATATTCCTATTTATTTCTGTGAGAATCCCAACATATACATATATATTGAATATTGAGTTGCAAAACTTTATTAATCTAAAACCTTTCCCATTTTGTTTAACAGTTGCTGCTTTTGTATAACTAAACTGGTAGTCTTGATTTCTGCACAAAAATGTTATGCAAGATCATACTGGTTAAAGTTAAACATTGTATATTACAATGTGATTTTTATATTTTTGAAGGTATATAATTTCATTTTCTATTTCTTCAGATATTTAGCTTGTTTATTATTTACTTTAATTCCAAACATTGTGTGTTTGTAATTGCACTGTTAGTTGTGAAGATGGACTTTGTAAATGTTCAGAGTTCGTAAATAAAAATTGAATGATTAAGACTTTTTTCTATAAAGCCTTTGCCTTCATAGTCTATTAGCATTTGAATTTACTTCACTGTTTACCTTTCAGGAATCCACAAACCACATTTATTACAAAAGTACCCATTTGCAAACTTGTAAAATCTGAATTTCTGTAAATGTAAATTATTAAATTTTGAATACAGTCTGCAAGTATTTTTCAGTCTCATTACCTGTCAATGTCTAGGTATACTCGCATGGTGTCAAATGACAGCCTTTATGTATCTCAGCTGCTAAAATCGGTATTTATTTAATGAAATTTTTCTGCCCCATTAGCATCAGCATCTAGCAGTGTATTCAAAATAAAGTGATAGGGTGAGGCTTGGGGGCAAAGCCCCCAGGTAAGAAAGTTTCTTGGTTCACAAGGCAATGTTTGTGGATTTCCAAAATGGTCAATGGTCAAAAACAAATGTACCAGACATCAGAGGTCACACAAAAGAGAAAAGACCCTGCAAAATTAGTAGAGGTGAGGGCTGAGATCCAAGGCAGGGGTGATCCTTACATTGGGTCTCTTTCCTAAGCCCCCCACTGCAACAATGAGTAAGGGATTGGGGGGCTAAAACCATTAGAGAAATTGAGCACTTGGCATTTTTAGCCATGCAGAGT